CGTTCGGGATAACGTTCTTGATACAACCGCGCTGCTGCTCGCATATCCGCCAATTCTTGGTTGGTAAAGTTTTTCATTAGCAACAATTAATTTTTGTTAAATTCTTGCCAACTTCACAAACACGATAGCACGGCTAAGGCGATATGGAATGCAGCTACAAAAAAACAATCCCTGTTATCGTTTGTAAAGATAACAACACACAAGCGCCGGATATGGGTCCCTATATACTCAAATGTTTTCTACTGTTACACTGAATAACCCCTACAAGTTTGAACCCATAGTTCTGAAACACCCTTATTGCCTCGTACATCTGCTCTTAAAACTAAGAAATACGAAACGGACATGTCGCGTCATGTCGCAGTTACCGTATTCTACGAACTCCGGTGCCGCTTGATATCTCACCGCCACACTTCTCCAGCTGACCAGCATAGCACGAGTGACGTTGCCAGATGGTCGATACTTTTAGTAAGGGCAAAGAAGACGTTTCTAGATCGCACCGTTATCAAATAGGTGGGGATATGAGCTAATTGCATGCACCTGTTTGGCTCACTTGATCTATTTAATTCTGTTATTATACATGTTCGTAGTTTACTTTTTTGTCTGAAAGAGTTACTTCAAGACACGGTCTCTAAATAAAATTAACCTGGTTTTAAGATACTGATAATTTTTTGATAAGATTCTTTTGTATTTGTGATCTATATCGTGCTGGATCTGTCCTTCACTGTTCATGGCAACGCTGCCGGAAGGTAAAGGTGCATAAACTAAAGGACGAAAAAATATATACACATAAACCTTTTCCCAAATTTTAAACCGCCGCTTCTGCAGGAGGGATACGAGACAAGGACGGAGGTCGAGGAGAAAGACGAAGTAGGACCACACTACGCCACGCAGAGCGCGGATACGCGGTACGGCGCGTTCAACAAGCCGTGTACGTGATCCGAGACCACTTATCGCTCCGCTGCCACCCCCACGGCTGTCGCTCGCCGCCGACATTCCCCGTTACACTCCCAACCCCCGATATGCCATCCCTTGGTCGTCGTTGTTCCGGTTGAATTACACGCCTGGTGGATTTGCCAGTGTCAAGGAAGAGGGAAGATAATTCAAACTTGTTTGAAAAGTTTAATGAGAGGGATTCCGAACAGTCCGTATGTGGTTCGTTGGCCGATATCGTTATGTTTGAATATCTGTAATATATGATATCGTTACTCAGTGAACTAACACAGATTATGGGTAAATCTCATGGTGTCGGTGTCGACTACCAAAGCCTATGATGCACAATATAGACCATAGTAGTTGGAATACGATTTTCGACCTTAGCAGCACCATAACCTAAGCAACATATATTTCCTGATGATCGTATGGACTTGTATTAGTATGATCCAACTGTACAGTTTTCGGCCACAGTTTCGAAAATTATCAACATCTTTTGTCTTTTATTTTGCCAGTCTTATTCAATATTTGTTCGAAACATATCAATGCTACATGACTATACGAGGAGATACCCGGAATAGCATTGCAGTGGGCGGAGCTTGTGTAGTACACATTTCTGCCCCTAGCGCAACTCATTACCATTACCAGTTCAGTGCCACCTGAGTTGTCATCTGGCTTGTTTCGTTCCTCTGTAGTCATTATTTTTGCTAGAGCTGTTTCGTGCTTGTTTCGCTTTTTACGATCTCAAGCTTCATTGAGCAACGTGCAGCTGTGAAATTTTGCTTACTCATTGGTAAAAATGCTGCTGAAACTGTTTTAATGTTAAAAATAGCTTACAAAGATGATGCTATGGGAAAAACTCAGGTGTACGAATGGTTTGATAGATTTAAAAATGGCGACATGTCGATTGATGATACACCTCGCTCTGGACGCCCATCATCTGCCCGAATCGACGAAAATGTTGACAAAATTCGAGAGCTTGTGCTATTTGGAGGTTTTAAGATGATTGCGAAACAGTGTTCGGCCATAAAGACCCGACTTGCGGAAGTCAGGAGATTGGTTCTTCCACCACGATAATGCACCTGCGCACACAGCCATCTCAGTTTCTGGCTAAAAATGGCATAGTTCCGCTGCCTCACGCACCTTATTCGCCTGACCTGGCTCCGTGTGACTTTTTCTTATTTCGACGGATGGAAAGGGGCAAGAAAGGACGCCGCTTTTACGACATTGAAGAGGTCAAAAGTAAAACGAGGGAGGAGCTGTCAGACATTTCTAAGGAAGATTTCAAAAAATGTTTCGAGCAGTGGAAGCACCGGTGGGACAAGTGTATTAGTTGTAGTGGACAGTATTTTGAAGGAGATAAGGTTACTTTATGAAAAGGTTGAAAATAAATAGCTTTTAAAAAATAATTCCGTTTTTTTTTTTGGTGTCCCCTCGTATTTTTGTATTCAGAAACAAGTTTTTTTTGTAAAAGTTGGTTTACCTCGATGCGAGATTGTTTTTTTTTGTGTTAACCTGACTGCGTGCAAACATACGGTTATGAGCATCCTTTCACACTGTAAAAGGGTAATACGATACTTCCAATAATAAGCGAAAAAAACTTGAAAAACCTTCAAAAAATGACGCCTCCCACTGAGATCATGTCACATGATGCCATGAAGCATGTAGTTCCCGAAATCGTGATCGTCACATTTTTTCGCGGTATCTGGTAACAGTCATGATTCGTGATTTAAAAGCATCAGTTACTATACTGTTCGTAAAATATCTGCCACTTCATTGGCAGACGGCCTTCAAAGCAATAAAAACATTATGTCCTCTCCATCCTAAAACACAGATAATATGTGTAAGACGTGTCAATCACTAATCTCCCTGATGCATAATGCAATTACTATGGACATAGACAAAAAATTATGAAAAATGTTTCACAGATAATGGCTTTCAAGTCCAAAAATCAAAAAAACTATTAATGTTGATTGTTTGTCTATTTTTCTTTTTTGACTGGCGGGGATATCTATCTGACACTCGCAGGGTAGCCAAGTCTAACGACGATCACGTCCCGTGGTAGAGGGTGCGAAATGAATCTTTTACATTTGCTGGTTTTGATTTTTTTCGTGAAATTTTACTAGGTATCATGATTATAAGCATCTTTGGTAGATTGTTCGATCCGGAATGGGAAAGATCTCCTATTTATGAAAATATTTTTGGTATCATCTAACCGTTGCAATTAGTGCACAAACACTGTGACATATGATTTATAGCATAACCCGCTGCCCTATCAATACAAATTTAACATACAGGTCGCCTAGCCGTGAGGATGCAGTGGTCGGGATGAAAATCACGGCAGCAACTGATGATTTGGGCATGTCTGGTAAGAGCGTATGAAGTGAAACTCGCTAACTTCACAAATTTGAAGATTTTGTACATTTTTTTTGAAAATGATGAAAGATATGCCTGATTTGGCAGGGTAATGTCGCAGCCAAATGGCAGTCACTCTTTCTGGCACAGTCCGGATCGAAAGATGACGATACTCGTGAAATATATTGATACTTCTAAATATAGGATCCTATCGAACATCCCTACTGTCAAGGTACCGACGGAGCTATTTTGCGGCGTCATGGAAATAATTTTAAATTTTCATTTGCATTTTTTCAAGTGTTGTGCAATGATTTTGGGAAAAATGTCACGAATAGTCTTATAAAGCATAGTAGAGTATGTTTCAACAGTTGGCGGAACTTACTCCACTGAGACCAGGAGGGTGAAACGGGATATTAATGCACAATCTGGCAACCCTGTCGCACCCTCACAAAATTACCGCTGACAACCACACAAGTCACCGTGTTGTGATTTAATAGCATGGAATTAAGCCTTAAGAGTATATATGTTTTGTGACTGGTACCAAGAGTTGACAGATCCCACACATGTGCCACTCCTTGAAATGCAATAATCAGCTAAATTCAAATAATGTCTAATATAAATATAACCTAGAATATGTACTCGTGAAAAAAGAAAAATATGGCAAATTTGTAGTTTTTTTTGCAGGTTTTATAGATTTGCTGGTAGCTTTAAGGCATATATTTTGGAATTTCTTAATCGCTGTGAATATAGTGTGGATGTTTGTTCAGGTCTTGAACAACGAAAAATATTCAACTTTATGGATGTATGGATATCAAAAAACCTGAATGGTTTTGTGGGAATATCAATCTAAGGTGCCATAATGGTTCTGATGAACGGCAAGTAAATGAATGAATGTTTGGAAACGAGCAATATCTTTTTGTAGAGCCTGTCATCAAGTAGGTGCTTAATGGCTATCTGCAAGAGGTTTATAGGAAAAAACATCCAGTATCACAGATCAATTGAAGAAAATAACATAAATATGAATAAAAAATCAACAATAGTAATTAAAACATGAATTTAATTCAAAAATCAAACATTTCTTAACATTTTGACTGAATTTTATGTAATTTCTTAATATTCAATAAGCTGGTAATGTTTCAATGACAAGTTGTCATCTCATACTTTGACAGTATTTTGTTTTCAACATTTCATAGCTATTGGTTGCTAAAATTTGTTGATTGGATCTTGAAGCTCATTCGCTGTATCTGACGGTCTGTTACCCTATAGGTGGAGAATAATGGACTGTTGTTGATGAAATTGGGCCGTAATAGATTATGTCTATACATATTTCAAATACGATGTAAGATATCCTCATTTTATCGTTTGTGTATTGGAAAAAAATGTATTTCAAATTCGTAAATTGGAAGAGAACTCATTTAAATCCCCTATATTTCTGTCTGTTCGATAGAACGTTTCAAGTCAATCTGTCATTGTTAGAGAATACGACGAAATCCTCACGTCATGCTAGTACGCTTTGAGGTTGAGAATTAGGTGTACTTGGTGTTAGAACCCCAAAGCAGTGGTTAGTCATGTAACAGTTGGATCCATAAGAGACAGCTCGAAATATACTTCGTAACAAATCGTTCGTGGTCTTGCCTTTAAATGAAAATTTGTATATAGTTACCAAAAACTTGTTTGTGTACACAAACAAACATCACTTAAAGCATGCTTCCTACCTTAAATGGAGCATTCGGCACATAGAGTGGCGGATCCTTAGCACTGCCTGTCACCTTCTCGTTGATTGGAGGTATTCCTTCGTCTGTGTCACACACACTATATCTCCCCACAATACCATCCGCAGGTTTCGCCTCGTAGCCAGCCGGCTGGCCTACGCAGAAACCTTTCGCTTTCACCCAGAATCTAAAAAAATCAGAAGTGGGATAACCAAAATGCGCAGCAATGTCTAGCTAAAGTGGGTTTTCCGTATAGACCATTGGAGTTCTACTAAGAATAGTGCAAGAAGTGAACAGAAACGAAAAAAAAAAACATTTGGTTGTCTTTTAATGTGCACAAAATATTAGTTAAAAGATGTTAAATTTTTCAAAATTTACTCTCACAGCTTGGTAAACCACTGCTATGGCAAATCGTCAGCCACAGTCATACTGCGCTGCGGTATATACGAAAAGTCTCTGAACTAATACTATAAGAAAGTTGGTCGTTACAAAAAAATATTATTGTAATGGACGCCAAAACTTTTTCAACATATGGAAAAGTCAGCAAATACGGGGTCTTAGGGAAATAATATTCGTAACTTTAAGAGGTGATTCCTTGCTTTAATCTAAGCAATAAAGTTCATTATAACTTATGAACGAAAATGGAGGAAAGTGAGTCGTAAATAATTAAATTGTCTCAAACATTTGGCAACGCTGCAACGCAACCGCGATACGAGCGCACGATGACCATAACTGATTCATCGAATTGTTTACGTTTGTATGATATTTTTGTTGAAAATATGCCTTGAATTATTGAATATTTTTTTACTTAAAAAAATTTCAGAACTTTTCAGACATAGGTTATAATGAACTTTTTGCTTAGAATAATGCAAGAAATCACCTATTAAAGTTACGAATATTATTTCCGTGTGCATAAAAATATGGCTATGAATTTCAACAACATTTGGATTTTTCCCATCTAACTGTCCATTTCCATTGATAGTAAGACTTAATCATATTTATTATTACTCAAGTTTTCGATGAAATTGGAGAAAGAGCCTCGTTATAATAAAAATTATGTTGAACCAATTATACACTGCTTACCTGAATTTGCTGTTATCAGCACTAACAATTTCATCTCCTCTCAAGGTTCGTAAAATTCTGGCATACTTTTTGATTGTGATGGTTTTGGTCTTCGCCAGATCACCATAGGTTTGAATGACCCATGGTTGGTATGCCGCCAGCATGTCATCTTTAGTGTCTCCAGTGGCACGTGCTCTGCAAGAAGTAATAAGTGAGCGCAAATATAATACTTGCAGAATAAATGACTTTACAATTGGCTCAGTCTATATGGTTTGACGATACGAACTAATCCTCGAATAGCTAACAGTTTTTTTTTAAATTTACATAAGTAAGTCCTATTCTAGTTTAACCTTAAGCCAATTTCTTGTATTGTTAACAGGGAACTGATTAATTTTACTATTTACGAATTAATGTGTACCTGTTATTGTTGTTCTGCTCAGAAGATCTGGGTGATTTTGACGGAGCCCTTTTCTTGGCCGAAGCTTTTTTTGGAGGCTTATCGTAATCTGACATGTTGACAGGTGGATATAGCGTGGTCATCGTCCTTCAGTTGGCCATACTCAAAGGAAATCTGTAAACAAAAATCGAATAGACAAGTTTTTCGTAGTTCAAAAACCAAAAACAATTCAGCACAGTACCAAATTTAAAGGAAGATGGAATCGCTGCCAACCTTGCTAGTGAAGAGACTTTCAAATTTCGGCATTATCAACCAGAAGTTAGCGATGATAGAAATACACTCAAAGAGCCTGACTGATAATGGCTGAATAAGTTTCTTCAATGTTCGATTCAGGCAGAGTTAAAAATGTTTCATCGTTCAGAATTACTTACTTAAACGCTATGGAACACAGGCTGTGTTACCTAGTAGTAACCCGAGATATCATCATTATTGAACGCAATGTTGACTTACTTTCGTACATTTATCCAGAATAAATCTGGTAGTAAATAAATCATCATAATGAAATCATAATAAAAAGACGTTATGGTAAAATATTATTATTTCCGTATATATAGAATTTGTTAGGTTAGAAAACGTACGTACAAGTTCAGACACTTTATATATATATATATATATATATATATATATATATATATATATATATATATATATATATATATATATATATATATATATATATAAAATAAAAATTACATGTTTTGCTTTCGTTTCAGCTGCTTCAACTGGTTTCTCCAATGAGATAGAATTTGAAAATTGCATTATAGTTGTTTTCGCATGTTTTGAAATGTCATCACTACGATATGGCATATGGTTTTAATTAAGTGTCTCATTTAGGAGTTTTATGTTTATTATATAATTTTTCACACATTACTCGAAACTCTGACTTTGGGATTAATGACAGTGTATCTCTTACTGCCTAGCTAAAAAAGTATTATATTGCTACCACAAAGGTGTGTCCTTCACGTCTCTTGCAACTTGTTGCAGACACTCAGAAGCCCTGGCACATGTTGCACAAAGTGCGCCCGGCACATTTAAATGGATATTTTTTTTTTTGGTTTGGCATTGGAAGTTATCCATTTGCCACAGATGTGTGTTACTTATATTTCTCTAATTATGGACAAACACACGACGTCACAACATCCATGGCGAAGGCGAGATTCTAAGTCGCGGCCCGGCCGGCCGGCTGATCAGTAGCACGACACTCTGACCAACGCGGCCAACCGAGGCCCCTTAAATGGATATCTGCAACGCACGTTGAAAACTCCAACTGGATCAAATCTTAATGAACTGGGAGAAGAATTATCTTATTACCCAATCACAGTCGGTTTGCCGGCTCTACGTAGGGCAGTCCAAAGACTGACGGCCTTAATCTGAACTTGTATAGTTAGGTTAGTTTCTTTTGGTCTTTTTTTACGCGCTGGCAGAAGCTTAAATGCCATGGCACCGCGTCTGCTATGAGGAGCTTAAATAAACTTAGTTCATCCGTTTTTTGAACTGTCTAAGGTTAATAGAATTCGGAAAAGACTGCTCGTGCAGATTATTCCACAATCTTGATACCCTAGAGACAACGGAGCGGTCGTACCGGCCAGTTCTGGATGGACGACATGGTTAGGATGGGATACCAAAGTCAGACCGATCTGCCTGGTAGGCCCATCGCCCGATGGCATCATGAAGGAGACCTCTGACGAGCAAAGCCCGTTGGCATAGCGGTAGAAGAGCAAGATCGCCGATGACCCGCCTGTGCGAAGAGTCCTCAGACTGTCAGTCGGACAGCATCGAGCATGGATAGCCCGGCCGGTAACACCTCATGCATGTGAGAAGACTCGAAGCTAGATCTTATCTGCAACTTGGACACAGTGAGGAGGTCATTTGGAGAAAAGTACTTCTTAGCCCTAAACAAATAGCCTAGCTTTTTTCCAGCAGCTGCCGCTATTGACGAGATGTGTTCGTGAAAGATCAGGTCCTCGGTGCTCTGGACTCCGACCAATCGACATGATCAGCTAGCTCTTCAGTAGAACTTGACCATCGATCGAAACCGGATGAGCGCTAGGACGCTTCTTGTTAGTCAAGGTGTTTTGGAAACATTAAACTGTACAAGAACGTTGGGTCCTCAAGCAGTGATACCCTCCAGGTATTACGTCAGAGAGGAAGTCGCTGCTAGTCTTTTCTCCAGCTCACTGGCAGAGATCGGCCTGTCACTCTGAATTCCTGCATGTAGAGAGCTGTCATCACCAAAGCTGTGGATCGGATTGATCGTACAGGAAGGAAGGTCGTTGATATGCAAGAGGAAGAATGGTTGTTGTCGGTGAAGTCAATGTGGTTCCACAATTAACTTTGTTTTCCTAGAGTAGATTTAATTCTAACTAAAACGGCGAGAAACAAACGGACCCGCCAAAATAAGTGGTGGCATCCTATATAGTTATATTTTTTCGTTGTATATAGCAAATAAATAATAATCAATACTGCTAAAAGATCAGTGAAGTTTCTTTAATCTCTAACCATAGTTTGTAAATAAATAACCCGCAGCGAATGAGAAATCAAAGTCACAAACAGATGCACAAAAAGCTGACAAATGTATGAGCGCAATAAAGTTCAACAAACAGAGAAACGAACTTTAAGGAAAGTCACCCGAAGTTCTCACCTTGATCAAAATAATGCTACTGAAACTAAATTGACCGTTTATACCTTTTATTGTATGATATCGGCCAAATCCGTAGAAATAAAACGTAATCCCAGAACTGCACGGTTCACTAATAAGTTTGTAACACGTATGGTCTGCCTTATCAGCGGCGCCCGTGTCGGTATCGTCGCGTCGCGGGCCGGGCCGTTCGGTGTCGGTCAGGCCTCAGATCGGTGCTCGCTTGCCGAGTGCGTGTCGCGAAATGCGGCCGGTGGCGGGCGCTGTGGCTGTGTGACGAAGCGGCGTCAGCGGTGGAGCGTCGGCTGGCGGACGGCCGATGCCGAAGCTCGAGACGGGACCCTTTGTCGGCCCGCCGTCGGTCGCTGGTCGCTACCGCCCTCCTTGCCCTTCCTCTGTATCGCGCGCTTCGCTGTTCGCTGCTGGCCCGCTCGCCGCCCGCCGATGATAGCGCTTTCGCCTGTACGTGCTTGCTGCGGCGCGGCGGCGGCGGCCCGTAAGGAGATTCACCGTTTGCACGTATATACGTATACATACAAAGTTTCAAGAGTTTGCTTCTTAGGCCGGCCGCTTATATGCCAGGACCATGAAGTTTCAGTTGCTGTGGAAACGGCGGCTCCGCATCCATATGTCCGGACTTATTGAAACAACCGCAAGTCGAAGTTTGAATACAAGTGTACCGCAACTGCAGTGAAGAAGCTAAAGATAAAAATTTTCATTTGGCTTAGATATTATCTGAACTTTGACGGGGTCATGAATATTGACGGTAATTTTTTGTTTATTTGGATGCTTAGAAGGCATCTGCTTTGTTTATATTATGTCAATTGACTAGAGAAATGGAAGGGTGAGAGGCTCGGGTAGAACTGTGCGAAGTATTCGGCACCGCACCCTAACGCTAAATACATGGTCTTTATATTGTAACCAAAAAAACCGTTTTCACTATACAAAGACTAATTTATTACTTCAACACTGATCTATTACACTTTTAACTAATTTATAACAGATTTAGAACTATGTCGACTGTCTAGTCCCATCTTAATTCCGTGCTGTTGAATGTCCCTTTTGAGACAGCGCCGCAAGCACCTGCACAGGGTCGCATACGATTTTTGCCTAATTGATTATCGGTATTTCCAATAACTTGAATTACTCTCGTACTTTTTCATGTGTAACAGACGTTTTAATGGTGGAAACTAATCCTTAGCTCTGAACAAGCAAAACCATCACTCCAAGTGCTATACGAGATTTCTATGCTCCGTGTTTGAACTCTCATGAACCGGAACGAACTGGTTTCTGTAAAAACTACAATATACATCAAAACTGAATATGTCTTATAAATGAGGCTTTATGCGGATTCAAATTGTCGTACTAAAAGGTAGCAGGGCGATATATATGCTACAGAAAGTATGCTAGTGGTCCCTGAAGAAAGTCCGCGATGATATTGCGTAGGTAAAGTTGAGAATTCATAATTTATGTCGGATCTCTTACAAATGGAAAAAGTTCTCCAGCCATATAACTTTGGAAGTTAAAAGCCATGATACGGAAGTTTGCAAAGGAAAGCAGCGTGCCCCAGCTGATCGACAACCTTTGTAAAATTATATTGAATCCTACATAAATGTAATATGCTAAATGTAGAGCCAACCTTATTACAAATGGTACCCAGGGTGTGGCTGCTCTACCACCTTACTGAGCCCATGGTACAATCTTTATGGGATTAGCTATCCTCGATTAAATCCTAACGATTATAAGAAGACTGGTGCTGACGCGCTCCCAGACTAGTTTATTCCCACAGCCCAACTAACAGGTCTCAGCAGTACCTGATGTGCCATGAGCTGGAAGATTGCCTTCTCTTTCAACCAGTTTTCTTGAACCCCTTTGTGGGATAATTTTCTTTCATAATGAGTTGGAGATCTCTAGCAGGGAATCCAGCTGCTGCGTCCTCTTCAGGGTGCTTTAAAAAACAAATACACAATTTGCAATCTACGTGCACTCTCTGTAAAACTACCTTTGCTGCTAGACAGAAACTTAAATACAAGGGCACCACTGCTGCTATAAGGATATTAGAAATAGCTTGGTAATCCTATTTTTGAACTGGCTAAGGATAGGAAAATAACTGGGAAGGCCTCCTCAGGTAGATTGTTCCACAGCATTGACACCCTAAGTACAAAAGATCGGTCATACCGGGCAGTTCTGAATGTACGAAGTCCGACAGAGCTAGATGGGAAGAAAAAAAATGACAGGTCCGTCTGGCGGGCTCAACGCACAGCGGCATCATAGAGGAGAGCTCTGACCAGCAAAGTCCGTTAGTTTTGGTATTTAATAAGTGCTACGAAGACTTAACTACTGTAAAGGCGCGTATTCATCTGAGCACGAACGGGAACGAGGCATGGCGTATGTGCAGATGTGGACGTACATCCGAGGCGCGCCACGTTGCGTTCGGCCGTCCGTCGTATGGAGCGAGGCAGTTCGGGAGCCATCCGAAGGTAGTCGGTACATCAAAGACAAATTTTGCCTCGCGCGTTTAGATGTGGACAGTTTGTTTAGTCATCGTACGTTCGTGCCGCCCGCCGATTGGTAAAATATGAGTTGGGACACGGAAAAAACAATATCTTTCATTAAAGAGTATGAAAAGCGCCCGATATTGTGGAAAAAGAACGATAAACATTATTATAATATAATCAGAAAAGAAGATGCATGGAGAGAGATAGGTGAAATATGTAATGAATCCGTGGACGTCTTAAAAAAGAAAATTGATAGTCTTCCAGGTTCAAGAAGGAGGGAAAAAAATAGAATTGCTAAAAGCATGGGAACAGGTAAAGGTAAGTTGAAGCACCAATGTTTATAATATTTTTTCAATAGTAATAATTCTGATGAAACCAAAAGTATAATATTTTTTTTTAATTTCAGGAAGAAACGAAATTTATGAGTCCAAATGGTTTGCATGGGATAGCCTAAAATTTCTAGATGACCCAGAAGAGCTACAAGAAACATTGTCCGTACGTATTAATAATTTGATATTTTTGATTTTCTTTTTAAGTGAGTCTGTTTTTTGTGTTTTTTTTTGTTTGTTTAACTACATATACAGGGTGTTCCAGAAAAGATGGTCAAGCCGTCCACTGGACATTTTTGGAGACAAGATAAGATGCAAAGATTACACATAAACTCTGTGGCACAGTTTCTGTTTTAAATAGGAGATAATACATACATAAAACAATTATATACTAGTTGCATAAACGAATTTATTGGAAAAAAAATTTTACAATATTTTAGGCGTAATCATTTTGCCAAGGAACAGAACCATGTGAGCAGAAATAATCAGTAAACTCTGCTCGTATATTTTGTGCGGAAATACTTGATTTACGTGGAACATTTTCCAATGGAGCTAAAGAAGATTTGTCACCGTTGCCTTCTCGCCACGAGCCAGGAATGATTTTTCCATTTTTTTCTTTGTCAAAAGTTCCATCCGGTGTATAGATATTTCTTGACGAATGGCTTTTACGCAAGAAATTGTGTAAACAAATGGTTGCCATGACTACTACTTTTGCCGTCTCTGGCTCCAGCAACATTGGCTTTCTCAAGACTCGAAAAACAGCAGAAATAATTCCAGAAGCATTTTCAACTATTCGACGAGCCCTACTCAGTCGATAATTGAAAATCCGTTCTTTAGAACCTTTGCGATGACGACCGGAGTATGGTTTCATTATATTTTCTGTTAGTGCAAACGCCTCGTCGGCAACAAATACGTACGGCATTTCTTTGTTCCTGCCAGATAGAGGTGAGCACCCTGGAAATTTCAAAATGTTTTTTTCCATATCTTTGTACAACTGGCAGTTTTTGAATACACCTCCGTCAGAAACACCACCCTGGCAACCAACGTCCACAAAAATAAAATTGTAGTCACCATCAACAAGAGCCATTAATACAATACTAAAATTTGATTTGTAATTATAATAAATGCTACCGCTATTGATAGGACATTGCAGCGGTATATGTTTCCCATCAAGGGCTCCTAAGCAATGTGGAAAATTCCACGTTTCGTTGAACTTTTCTGCTATTTTTAACCATTCATCTGTTGTAGAAGGTACCTAAAAAATAAAAAAATATATTTTTTCAGAATCATCCTGCTTCATCCGACATCATAGAAGTTGATGAAGAAACTACTGACAATACAGACCGAATTGTTGAGGACCAAAATCCTATTTCTTCGCAAAAAAAATTTTTGTCGCCACATAAAAATGCTCCGAAAAGAAAAAAAAACGAGGACCCTCGTATACAAGAGGCCTACGATATTTTAAAAAGCAGAACAGCCACTCAGAGTAAAGATGAATGCTCAATGTTTGCTGACTTTATCGCACAAAAAATGCGAAAGTTTAGCCCTCATACGAGAGCTGTTTTGCAACATCAAATACATAATCTTATTTTCCAAGCTGAACTGGACTCTTTACCAATTTCCCCTCAGGTGTTATCACCATCCCAACAAACATTTCAACCTTCAACATCTATTTGTCAAAACTTTCGTACTTATAATTCACTACCGTCTCCTTCTTCGTCAATATCATCAGTAGGACCTCCATCTTGTACTCCATCACCACTTCAATGTCCTCAAAGTAATATACAACAATATAATGAACATGCACCACAACAATCATCCAGTGAGCACTCGAGCACCCATAGCCAGGAAGTGCCACCCGACCACCAGGAGATTACGTCCGAGAATTCACTCATCTTTCAAGTCAATTCAAGCCAACAAACTGCTAACCAGCTAACTACAGCTACCTACTTCTCGAAATATGATGAAATATGATACGTGAAATGTTAGTTAAGATTGAATTAAACATACTTTTACGTGTTGACTCAATGTATTTATTATTTCTTTGCATACTTCCGGGACAAATTTTGAAATAACTTGTTTTGATACGTTGAATAAATATTGTAGACTACTAAACGAGTCACCAGTTGCCAAGTATCTTAATGTTATGGCCAATCTTTCCTCAGCAGTGATGGCTTTTCGAAAATGTGTGTCACTTCTCGTAATTTTGTCACGAATTGATTCCAATAAATAAAAAAGGTCGTCGGATGACATTCTGGTAAAATTTCGAAAATATGCTCCGTCCTCCTGCATCAAATCATTTAAGAATAATTTTCCACGTGTAACCAACCTATTACGATATATTTTAGTAGTCCACCAGCGCTTTTTCTTCTTTCTTTTGGATAGACCGGCTATCACAATAAATGCTGCAGTACTGATTACTAGAACGTCGTCATCAGCCATACTATTTTTGCGAAATTATTGTTAGTTAGTTTAGAGCGTAGTGCGGACTGATCACATATTTCCATCTATTCGGGTGTGCGGCGGATAGCTACTTTGTTCGCTGCCTCGGCGAACCGTTCGCGACTTCAAATTTGAACAACCGAGGCATGCGGCAAGCGTCCGTTCGGCCTCGCCTTGCCTCGTTCCCGTTCGTGCTCAGATGAATACGCACCTTAATGGTACAGCCATACGTCACGTGAGTCATGAAGCTTAGCTACACTTATGAACATACACGCTAAAGCAGTGGCGGCTCGTGAGGTAGTGCCACGGTGCCATGGCACTACCTTGTCTTCTTCAAAAAGAATATTTTTTTCAATCTTCAATGTTTTACTTTATTTTCTGCTTTTTCATTTTTTTTGGTATAAATTATATGAAGTGACAACACTGACAACGTGACAACACCGCAAGCACCCGACCGACGCGACGAGACGAGCATGCCTTGACCTTGGCGTCATCAACTTGTGCCAATTTAGGGCCGGTCCAAATAAAAAGAGAGAAATTTTACCAGCATCGCATACGAGCGACAGAGATAACGCTACGCATGACATGTTTATATGAGGTGAATAGCGAAAGACAAGTATAATTTGTGCCAGGCACATCATCAGTCGTAATTCGTTATCAAATGATATCGGCGGTGTTTTTGTTCGGTCGGTCGTTTGGTTATGATTACGTCTAGTGCTGATTTCGGTCTTTTTTTACCTGAAAAGTGAGAAATAACGTTTTTGTTTTTGTACGTCTAGTGTTAATGAACTGCTCTGTTTTGTGATCATATTTTTTACTGTTTTATTAAAACTAGTGAAAATGAATAAAATCGGGATATTAAAAAACTCACTTAGTGGTTTTTCGCTGGATCAAAAACTGCAAATTAAAGAATTAGGACGGCCAATACCCGATTTAAAAATTGAGAAACAAAGTGGTAGCGGACAAAAATCGCGCTGTCGCAAATTTAATAAAAATGTGTATGATAAAAACAGCTGTATATGTGGTTGTGAAGAAACGAATAAACTATTTTGTTTTGTATGTGTTCTATTTGGAGGTGACGAGACTTGGCCAAAAAAAGGTACAGACGATCTTATACATATATGGGATAAAATGAAGACCCACGAAAAATCTAAAGTCCATATGAATAATGTTTTTAGCTTTTCTATTCTTGGTAAATTAAATATAAGGACTCAACTCAATTCGGCTTATCGCAATGATCTAATTAAACATAATAATCAAGTGGATAAGAATCGATATGTATTGAATAAAATTATTAATTGTATAAGGTTTTGTGGAGCATTTGAGTTAGCCTTAAGGGGTCATGATGAAAAGGAAAATTCGGAAAACAGAGGCATATTTAAGGAGCTGGTGAATTTTAGCGCCGAATTAGACAACGAATTGAAAGTCCATATTCAAAGTGCCAAACTTTTTGAGGGTAGCTCAAAAACAACTCAAAACGAGCTTCTTGAGTGCATGCTAGATGTTTATCATGAAGAAGTTAAGAAGGAGATTGCAAATTCTCCTTTTGTTGCAGTAATTGCCGATGAAACGACGGACGTAGCCTGTGAATTTCAGTTAGTTATTATTTTCAGATATTTGTGTAAAGGACAACCAGTTGAGAGATTTTGGAGATTTTACGTCCCCGACGGACACGATGCCAAATCAATCGCTGCATGCGTTTTAAATGTTGTAAATCCATTACTAGATCAAAATCCAAACAAATTAATAGCTCAAAGCCATGATGGTGCGTCTGTTATGAGTGGTGAATTGAATGGCGTTCAAAAAATTATTAAGGAAACTTATCCACTTGCAAATTATGTTCATTGCTATGCACACCAGTTAAATCTAATTATGACAAGCGCATGCTCTGTCAATAAGCAGGCTAGAATATTTTTCCATAATTTATCTGGATTGTGCTCTTTTTTTTCGACGTCTCCTCAAAGAACAAAAATTTTGGATGAAATAGTTAATCGCAGATTGCCAAGATCTTCCCAAACACGTTGGAATTTTCAGTCACGAGGTGTTCATACAGTTTATGAAAATAGGAAAGACCTGATTAAAGTTATGGACAATATAGAAAGTACTTCACGCGATTCTTCGTCGATTAATCAAGCCAGTGGGTACAAATTAAAGCTGCAAGATACAAATTTTGTATTTTGGCTAAGTATTTTCCATAAAATAATGCCACATGTTGAAATTGTCTTTAACCAATTACAAAAAGTACGCACCGATTCTGTTAAGGTCAAAAATGATTTAGAGAATTTTGAAGCAGCAATTCAAACTATACGAGAACAAATGGATAGCATTATTGACGAGATTGAACGAGTGCAGAGAGAAACTGATGAACCGGCAAGAAAAAAAAGGCAAGTTGAAGAAGGCAGCAAAAAACGGGAAGCGTTAGAAATATGCGATGCAGTATTATCGCAAATAAGAACAAGATTTAACTTTTCTGGACATTTAGTTGCTTCTAATTTATTTGTGTGTGAAAAGTTTTCTGTTTATAAACATCAGTTTCCTGAAGCACATTTAAATGACACATGCACACAATTTTCATTTTTAGACAAAAACAGGCTTAAAACTGAGTTACAAGTATTATATCAGAGAGAAGAATTGAGTACTACTTCTGGAGCTGTTCCACTATCCATTTTATTGAACGAGGAAGGATTAAATTGTACGTTTCAAGAAACTCTTAAGCTCTTAAGTATTTTAATCACTATACCGATGTCAACATCTGAAGCAGAACGCTCTTTTTCAATGCTGAAACGGATTAAAACTTTCCTCAGAAACACAATGAAGGAAGAAAGGCTTAGTGCTTTAGGAATGCTGTCTGCAGAAAAACATTTTGTTAGTGGCATTGAATATTTTAATAATAAGGTAATCGTAAACTTTGCTACCAAAAAAGAAAGAAGAATGGACCTCATATATAGAAAACTATAGTTATAGGTACTTCTCCACACTTGTTTTATAATTTGGTGCGCGTGTGTAAATAGTTTTATTTTTGATTTTTTTTGGACATATAGATTTATTGAACCTCAAGAACTTTGACCACTAACTATCAGGGGTAAGTTATAAGTTATTCTTTACAATTTTGAATCGATTCAAAATTATGGCTTCCATTCTGGCACTACCTCACGGAATTGGCACGAGCCGCCACTGCGCTAAAGAGCAACCTGAAGCCACGTGATATAAGTCATCAGTAGTCCCGTCTCGTCCCACCAAAGGACATCCACATCAACATCGGCCGTTGCCATCCGGCATCCGTCCGCCTCAGCGCCTCACCGGCCCCGATGGCGATGTCAGGTCCTGCCGGTGCCGGCCAACGGCCACTCTCGCTTTTCTTTTTCTTTTTATCCACTTTTCCATCTTTTTCATTTGGTGCCGTCCGTCCATGTTCGCTTTGTGGATCGCCGAACTGCCGCAGCCCGTAGCAACGCCACGGCGCGCCTCGATCCACGCACCGGATGGCGATGAACAACCGCGAACTGACGTGGGATCAGTAGCGGGCTCCCAAAATTATTAACAGCACAAAGAATATTGCATAATACAACAAGTTTCATATTTTCATTATAAGAGCCAAGACCCTTTAATTGCTACCGCCTCGCATCCCTAAAATCGCCAGAAATCGCTCGAAGGTCTTCGTAAATGAAGAATCATGTAACGTCTTACCTCTGTCCTTACTGCACTCCAAACAGACCTTTTGATGGAGGTGCTTTTGGTTTGGGTCCAATCCAGATTATATCCTGAAGAATTAAAATATTTGACTTGTCCATTGCCATCGCCACGTACCGAGGACTCGTCCTCCACATCACCACATACACCTGGAATCATCAGCCACTCCTCTTGCAGGAAGCATCTTAACATGTGCTAGCCAGGCAACATTCCCACCAGAAAGCCTTGGGTTAATGCTATCGAGAAATGTAGTCATCCTGTGTCAGTGAGCACCACCTGACATCATTTTAACATACTAGGTACTCCATTTCAGGTTGTCCTGTGTCAAAATCCTTTCATTCTGAGACTTAGTGCTACCTAGCGGAAACTTAGAACATTGATAAGAGCTAGGTTCTTCGTTTCATCGTTGTCTATCAAGGAGAATCTTTATCTTTGTATCCACGTATTTCGGGTAGTTTGTCAATCTGTTGGCCTATAGGCCTAGAAACAAGAAAAAGTCAAAGAGAAAGAGAATTATAAAAAATGAAGGAAGATAAAGGGCAAAGAACAAGAAGTCCAAATATTAGGGGAGGAAACGCCTAGGCATATGGCTAAAATGGTTTTGATTCTCTAAAATAAATTTTGATCACGGTGCGAGTCACTGTCTGGAATGTTTGCTAACTTGCTCGACTATGTAATCCGCAGACTCGGGCAATAAAGAATTGCAGCGCAATTCCACGTGTTCATATCGTTGTTCAAAGTAATCCCCTAAATATGGGTCTAATTTGTGCCACACCATTGGTTATAATAGTTCGTAGGATTCTGTTTTGCATAACCTGAATAACTCGCATGTGCATTTTCTCTAGAAAGCACCAAGCCACACATGCGTATGTAATAGCGCGTCTGGTAATTATTTTGTATAGCCGATTTTTGTTCATCACACTCAATTTTGAAGATCTACATATTAAAGGATAAAGTTGCCGAAATGTAATTGTTTGCGCATCTATGTCTTTCCGCCAGATGATACCCTTGTCAAGGGTAGCTCCAAGGTATCTGATGGAATTTTCCCATTGTACCATCCACAGAGATCAATGACGGGGGGCGGCGTCGCGTTGCTTGTTGCTACTATAGATGGCCTGCGTTTTGGTTAATTTTGATCAGACACCGATCTGCCCATTCTAGCACTTCTTCCGCCGCACATTGTAGCTAGTCGTGAAGATAGATTTCTACAGCTTGGTTATTATCTTTCAGGAACTTTGTGGGATACCTGCGATAGTAGCTTCCAATATGAAGGCTCTTCTGGGTCCAAAAACTCGGTCGCAAGATCTCTCTCCAAATAATGAACCAACCGTGTGGTAGAGTTATTCGATATCCGCGAAGGTTTGCGTCTCTAAATTTCACTTATATCTTTCGGTTCTCTACGGCGGATTTTGTTTCTTGTTTGATGCCCAAAAAATATATAGCTAACGAATGCTCATGTCGAGGCTTTCTCAGGGATGCTCTAACGTATGTCCTAAGAGTTTTGGCACAAAATATTTATCGATTTTTTTTGAATGAAGAAATTTATTTAAACACTAACTAGTTATTATAAATCAAAACTCATTACTTAACTACGCTATACTATAGACTTATATGGAGTGGCCCATTCTACTCTACCAGACGTCACTTTCTTCGAATGTCTCTCATGAGATCCTGGACGGAGTTCAGATCAATTTCTCAGTTCTTCGTAAATTCATTGCCTTGATTGTTCTCCATCTTGGGCTTCCCTGCCTCCATGATAAACCTTCCTAGCCAGTAAAGGCCAAAAATCCTCTATTGGGCAAGCCTGCGGCAAGTTTAGAAGATTATCGTTTTTGGGAACAAGAGGTATGTTGTGTTGTCTTGAGTAATGACATGATGCTAGGTCTGGCCAAAACAATATGGTCATTAGCATTCGTGGACAAACTGAAGGAATTTTTTAAAGGAAATTGTCAATATAGCTGTAACTATTTAAAGCTTCACCCCTCACTCTTCCCACAAAAGGTTCAGATACACCCCTGTTAGAAATTGCGCACCTGACAAGGATTTTATCTGCAAATTTCGCGTTATGTTTGTATCCAACATTGTCAGGGCATTCCTCTACATTGTCCGTGTAAAATTTGTCATTTCTCTTCATTTCAGAATCACTCAAAGTAAAATACTTCTAGTCATCTAAAATAATGATTTTTCCATTGGCAAACTGTACCCGCCTCAGTTGACGACAGCATCTTGGTATACGAAGAAGTTACGCTTGCGAGCATTTGATGCACTCAAGTCTCTTTTGATATTTAAGACCATTCCTCCTCAATTCCAACGATATCGTACTCTTAGAAGATCTGTATTGACGAGCCAGTCTCCTTGTTGACATTCCAAACCGGATTGTTGGCTCTTCTCACCAATTTCTCCGACCTCTGTGCAGCAAATGCACGTTGTCCTCCACCTTTTTGGAGATTTAGATATGGTCCTGCTCGCACTTCGCTATTGTTCGATAAATGGTTCTGCGTGAAATGTTTTCATCCTGGAATATTCCACATATTTAAGCTGTGGATACCCGCCCAACCACCTCGTAGATACTTTTTCTTATTTAATATTTATTCGGCATCTTAAGGCGAAAACTACAAAATAAATAAATGTCAACTGACAATAAAGAAAGTAAACAAATTTTTGTTTCCAAAGGCAACTTGCTATTATTTTGTGTTCGTTAAATTATAGCCAATAAATTTTGTGCCAAAACTTTTAGGACATATGTTAGATGAATCGGTAGCTAAGCATTAGATTGCACTTTGGGGGGGCACCTAAACATTCTATACTCGAATACCAAAACGAAAGGGAGTAGCAGTAGTCGTCATCGCGGATCCGGCCTTATTCAAAGATACGGCGCTTTTACAGTATCATACAATGTGTTTTGTTACTCTCTTTCGTTTCGATACCTAGAAGAGATATATGGTAATGACAAGACCTTTGCGACGCATTTTGAGAATGGTATGGGAGTTGTTATGTGCTGAATCAGACATGAAAACGTGGAAGCACAGATAGAGGCCCGAATGAGCTTTTTTGTCTAATCCACGAAGTGCTGTGAAGTTCAGGGCACTGGATTTTAGGTTTCCATACAAAGGTGTGACCAATACTAGTAGCTAAGGGCCGTATCGTCAGTCGTTTCTACAATTGTATGGCGCTTTTATGGCCTCCTTGATTTTCATAGAGTTTTCTCTCCTTCAGAATGACTGGTGGATTTCTGGATTTCAACTATTCCGTGTCAGCGTTAATGCTCTGATATTGTGAGGTTACGTTTTCTGTTTGAATTGTAGGAAATTTCAGGCTGATAAAACAGATGATCTTAATCAAAAGCATGAACAATTTGATGCAAATAGATATTTGTAACATAACCTCAAAATAGAGCGCTAACACGGAACCAAAATCTAGAAATATCCATTCTGAAGAAAAAGAAAAACTATAAAAATCAAGGAGGCCATAAAGGCGTCCTACACTTGTAGGGACGACTGCCGATACGGAATTAAGTATTACTGCTTATGAAGCTGGCATGGGGCAATGATAGACGCCAATCGGATCCTATGTCCTTCCAAAATGGTCTCTTGTATTTCACGGGCTTAGTCCGAAGCAAGATGAAGAATGGAGGGAGTTTTTCTGTCCCGAACCAGATGGGCAGAATTTTGCGTTATAAAACTTACGGCTTTATAACTGTACTCTGCGGGTAACAGTGTGAAGGTATTCACAAATACACCAGCTGACTACCGTCAGCTAGTCGCACTGCTGGAATCCATCAAGCGGCCCTTCTTCACCTATCAACTGAAGGAGGACAGGATGGACCAGAGGGTCATTCGTGGGCTACCCAGGGAGATGTCAGTCAATGACATCAAAGAGGATCTAGTGAGCCAAGGCATCGCAGACGCCGAGGTTCAGCAGATGACCTCAAGGACCACCAAGAAGCCACTTCCGCTCTTCCTCGTCAAGACGAAGATGCCGGAAAAACTTGCAGAGATCCAGAGGCTGGCCATGCTCACGGTCAGCTTCGAGAGGAAGAAAAAGTCTTCCGAGCCCAGCCAATGTTACCGCTGCCAGCGGTACGGGCACACACAGCGGAACTGCCGTCTCGCTGAACGGTGCGTTAAGTGTGGAGAGGACCACAACAGCACCAGCTGCAGTCTGCCACTGCCGCCAACAGGGCAACGAAACGCCAAGTGTTGCCTCTGTGGAGAAGGCCACCCCGCCAACTACAAGGGATGTAGTAAGGCCCCGAAGAAAGCTGCTTCTGCCCCCAAAGCAGTCCCCACCACAAATAGGACTTCTTACGCTCAAAAAGCGAAGAAACCTATGTCCACTTCTGCCCCAGCAGCCGCCACTGCTACTGGAACTACTGCGCAGAAGAAACACGGCGATGACAGACTGCTAGCAATGATGCAAGCCATCATAACCCGCCTGGATGCACTCGAGGCCAAGATGCAAGACAAGCACTAGACCCGAAATGTCTACAGGGCAAAACGTAGAATCTCTACGCATTATCTCCTGGAACATCAACGGATTCAGGGCACGGAAACCAGAAATCCAGGAGATACTAGACCAGTACCAACCAGAGGTGATGGCCATCCAAGAAACGAAATTGGATGCTGCCCATAGTCTGACGTTCCCGCGGTACGAGACGTACCGCTACGACAGAAGGGGCAGAGGTGGAGGAGTCGCATTACTCGTCAAACGTACCTTGACGAGTCATGTCCTCGACGATGCCGCAGACATAAATGGGGACGGAATCACGGTCCAGGTCCATCACAACCACCGTCCCTACAGAATCACCTCCCTATATGTGCCACCAGGGGAGGCCCTAGACGAAGATGACATCGCTGACCTCCTGAGAGGCCCAGGAGCACGCATAGTCATCGGAGATCTAAACTGGCATGGAACAACAACGTCGAAGACAGGAATGCAAGGCAGCTCCAGGAACACGTCGATGCCCTGGCGGGGGTCATCGTCGGTCCGGAGCAACCAACCTACATTCCATTCGGCCTTGGGCGACCTGCGGTACTGGACATAGCCATCCTCCGCAACATCAGAGAGGAGTTCGAGATAGAGACCCTGGTGGAAGGATCGTCGGACCACAATCCGATTCTACTAACACTTGGCACAGGGTCTAGAACTCGAGATAGCTTGAGCACCAAACGGACGAACTGGAACCTGTACAAATCCAACGTCCAGAGGAACATCACTCAAATTCCAACCATCCGATCAGCGGAGGAACTGGACAACGCAGTAGAGGAGCTGGAGAATGCTGTCCTGCGAGCGCACGAGGACAGCACCCGCTCCGAGACTACGGCAGTTCCTAGACACCTAAATGGTCCAGCACCGCACCATATTAGGCACCTGATCAGGGAGAACAGAAGACTCAAGCGAGAACATCTCCAACTGTTGACAGAGGAGTCGAGAGTTGCGCGAAACAGAGCATCGTTAGCTCTGAAGAACGCACTCGCGGAACTCCAAAACAGCAGATGGAATGCAGCCTGTGCAGAACTAGAGACCCAGGATGGTACGGCCTGGTCTATGCAGCGAAAATTTCGTCGTCAGCGCACCACGATCCCCACTCTTCACGGCCAACGCGGCTTGGCCTACTCCAGTGAAGAAAAAGCCGAAGCATTCGCCGATTCGCTAGAATACGAATGCAGACTCAATTACCATGAAGACGAGGACGACAACCACGAGGAGGCCGTGGAAGTCGCAGCCGAAAACATGAGGAGTCGACCACCTGGCCAGGAGACGGATCACCCCTCCAGTCCAGAGGAAATCCGTCTGATCATCCGCAGGTTGAAGGTCAGAAAGGCGCCGGGAAGGGACGGCATCAACAACAGGATGCTGAAGAACCTCCCCACCAAAGGCATTGCTGCGCTCACCAACATCGCCAATGCCACCCTGAGACTTAACCACTTCCCGCGGCGGTGGCGGGAAGCCCAGGTTATAATGCTCACCAAGCCAGGCAAGGACCGGAAGTTGCCCCAGAACTACCGGCCCATCAGCCTGGTTTCCTCGATGGGCAAAGTAGTCGAAAAGGCTATCGCCGTTCGACTAGAGAAGCAGGCAGAAGAACTGCAAGTTCTCCCCCCAGAGCAATTCGGCTTCAGATCCTCGCACAACACGGAACTCCAAGCGCTACGACTGACAGGAAACATCACCAGCGGCTTCAATCTCCAGGAGGCAACCGGTCTCGTCCTGCTGGACGTGGAACGAGCCTTCGACCGAGTTTGGCACGATGGACTCATCGCCAAAATGGAAGCCGCCGGAATCGATGCGAACATGTGCCAACTGATCCAGAGCTATCTAACACAAAGATGGTTCACGGTGAAGATTGGCAAATGCCATTCAACAAGACGACAGCTGGAAGCAGGCGTGCCCCAGGGGTCAGCCTTAGCCCCCCTGCTCTACAACATCTATACTCACGATGTGCCGAAGACAGCTGACACAATGCTGGCCCTATATGCAGACGACACTGCTATAGCCGCCAAGCATAGACGACCCGAGATCATCCGTAGGAGACTACAGGATGAACTGGACCACATTCAGGACTGGTGCGTGAAATGGAAAATCCGCATCAACGTCCAGAAGACGCAGGCAATCTTCATTCAACGAAGAAGGATTGCAAGACCTCTCGAAGCATCCATCTTCGACGAAGATATCCAGTGGAGCGACAATGTCAAATATCTGGGGATCGTATTTGACAAGTCCCTCACCTGGAAAGCGCACATAGAAGCTGTCATCGCAAAGACCAGAGCAGCCATGGCTCAACTCTATCCATTACTGGGTAGACACAGCCAGATGCCGCTAGCGACCAAGCTACGGCTGATCAAGGCCGTCGCCAGACCTCAGCTCGCTTACGCCTCCGCGGTCTGGGGGTACGCTGCCCCCAGCTACCGCAAGCGACTTGCTGCTCTAGAGATGAAGCTACTCCGGATCGCCACCAGTGCACCATCCTACGTAAGAAACTCAACCTTGCGTAGAGACCTGCACTGGGACACCATCCACGAGTACATGAGGAAAAAAGCGGAGAAGACCTTCGAGAAAGCTCAGGACCACCCGAACGAGCAGCTACGATTCCTCATGGACTACGATCCGGACGAGATGCCTCGCAACCGCAGAACCAGGTACCCCAGACCAATGTCCCAGTTGGCACCCGCTAACTGGAACCTTGACTAGGAGACTAGGAGGACCCGCGGTTGCTCCCCCCCCCCCCACGGCGTGGATGCAGAGGACCAGGAACCACCGGGACCAGGACCCACCGGGACCAGGACCAACCAGGACCAGGACTCGCCACGACCAGGACCCACCAGGACCAGGACCCTTCAGGACCAGGACCAGGAACAACATATTGGTAAGAGGACTTGAAACTCTTGATTTTTCGAAAACAAGAGTTTCAAGAGAACCAGCAGACCCTCTATCGATGATCGCTTAACGACATCGATAGAATGTGCGAGGTAAAGGGAACCAACCCGGCGTTCCCAGAGACTGAAACACATGAGGAGACGTTGTAGCAGACCGCAGGTCACGCACAACACATGGCCTACCGAGACGCTGATGAGTCGGGCCACGCGGAGGTTTAGGGTTTAGTGGGTATTAGGTGATCTCCTCAAGACCCTGGAGTCCCACACACGCCGTAGCTCGGGCTATGGTATGGTGCGTAAACGCATTCCCCCCTCACCAAAAAAAAAAAAAAAAATGTACTCTGCCGATATTACCATGTGTTATTTAAATATGGATGTCAATACCAAAAATCTTTCGTACTTTATTTAACGGTACCAACTAGGACTATAAAGAGACTGATTTTAAATAATCTACCAACTATATCACGCGGATATGTTAAGTTCACAGCCTAGCACTTTATGACATAGTCTGAAATTCTAGATCTTTCACAATAGTCTTATAGTATCATAGTGTTGCTTTATATTTTATACCCATTTCTAACAAAATATCTAGCCTTGAGAATTGGCTTAATCGAGACAAACGCCATATTTGATACTTTTACATTTAGATCAAAATAGAGAATCCCTGCAAGAGTAACGTAACTGTATGCAGGCTGTTTCCTTGATTTTGCCTGGAGATAATGACCTTGGTGTTGCCAGTTCGCCCATAAGACGTTTCGCCCCGCTGGTGCTACACTGGTTGTGTCCGAAGTGAGGTGAAGCGAACTGAACCGGCGATGCGGCGAAGCGCGGCGGTGGCAATCGGTGTGGCCGGCCTGCCGGCGGCGCGGCGCGGCGGAGGCCGGTGGCTTGGCTGTAAATTAGCGCGATAAGGAGAACTGGTCGTCGGCTCTTCTTTTCGCGGAGGCAGTCGCCGCTCTAAGCACCGCTCCTGTCGTTTTCAGCAACGCTGTGGCAGTGATGGCGAAGCGGATGAAGGGGAAGATTCTGGCGGCCCCCCTTTCGCAATGGGCAAAACTAGCGGGGGCCAAGTATGGCTCTTTGGGCTAGTAAGTCCGGCACTAGACCGAAGCAGCCGCGAAGGCAAAATCCTAAGTACTATAGCCAGGCGAATTTAGTTCGACCACCAATTTTTAAAGTTCCAAGTCTCTTAGATAAATCTGTAATGCACACATATTAAATGGATGCCGTACTGGTATTTTCTACTAACCACTGGCAGCACTGCATCCGTCAAATTTGATTTAACTGTAAGCTCATAGATGATAGCACAAGACTGGTTGCCTATGCGGTCAGCTTGATGTAGGAAAAATTCTTCGCGCGCGCTTAAGCTGTGAGCAAATTTAATAAAAAATACTTTTTGACGGATCAGTGGCGGATTTAAGGAAAAGGGCCCGGTGGGCAATATGCACTGGGTGGGCTCCAGTGGTATAATCGGAAAGAGACGGCAAATAGTGCGCACTATAACTGTTTTGCGAATAACATAAATTACTGAAATTATTGACAAATAAAATACGGCAATGGAAACTTTTAAAGTTGCATGATAACTCAGAAATTAATATCAAAATTTAATGCGTAATGTCATATTAGTGCAATCGTACATCAGTCTGGTTTTTGCATTTAATAGTGCGCAAGGGCACGGGGCAGGTTGTAATGCGCATCGTAACTGTTTTAAGTTGATTAAACTTGATGATTCACCAGCAAACTTCTTGTGCATAATACAGTTTAAAAGTTATCACGAATGAAACCGATAAGTAAAGGGCGTCGAGTCAAATTTGGAGTGCACGCTATTTATAGGATTTGCATACAATTATAAGTAAGAAAAAAACAAATATGATCGATAGTTGTAGTCATGTTTGCCGTAATGAATATTTCATTGAATACAAACTTGGTGAACAACACTAAAGTACGTTAAATAACGTGCATTACTACAGGATACATTCTGGGCACTATTTGCGAAAGTGATATTCCCCACATTTATCGCTATTTGCAAATTAATGACTGCAGCTGAGAATAAAACAAATAGAAAGACCTACACAAGTAACCGAAACAAGCTCGTGGATAGTGCAAAAGCTTTTTTAATAGTGATTTGATGCAAAAAGTCAATCTAATGCTGCTTCAACGTGGCAATAAAACAGCTAATAAAACTGTTTCAATATTCACGCGGATCTAAAATTTTTCGATAACGTAAAATCCATCTAAATTGTTCAGATAAAGTTCGAACTACAGATTTTGCTGTCAATCAGGATGTCAAATATTAAAATTGGCTTACAATTATATGCACAATAGTAGCTGCTGCGCACTGTTGCCTCTGTTTTTTTTACTATATATCTATATAACCCGAATCAAGTAGAGACTGTGAGATCAAACATTTTTTATTCGATACAAAATAACAGAATTATTCTAATTTCAATCGGCGTCCTGCTTTTCGTTCAACAAAAACTTCCATAGCAGAATCCAAATTAAGTGTATTAGCTACTGATCTTTCGAAATTGAGGATAGAGAAGTTGTTGAGTGTGTTTTCAGCCAAAGAAGCTCGACGGTATTCTTTAATAATTTTCAAAGAGCTCATGAGCACTAGCTGAACCGATAGGCAACGTCAAAAACAATCTGAATAAACTGCAGCTTTCTGGAAAACTGTCTATAAAATTGTTGGCAATCATGAACTTCAAATAATCTAGCAGGAGGTCATTAGTGAAATTACGATTTTCTGAAAAATACATGCTCGTAAAACTAGCTAATTCATATTTCAGATCTGTAGTGAAAAATTCCGAATATTTTTCCATCAAATGTGACGCTGGTTTCTAATTCGTTTTCTTTTAGATTGACTAATTTATTCGAAAAACATCGAGTGTTTCCAGTGGCGAGTCAGCAGCTTAGCCTTCAGAACAAAATTATCGTATATGCTTTCGCTCCTAAAATCTTTTAATTTTTTTAATGCTGCTGAAATGCACCTTTGAGCCATCCATCAAGTTTATTTCTTTCTTTTGCATTTGAACTTGCACAGTATTCATTACGTTCAATACTGAATGCCACCATAACAAATTGAGGAAAAAGGTCCAGTTCATGGAGGAAAGGAGAGATGTTGCATTCATTATATCTTCGCCAGAAGCTCCCACTCCTCATCTTCTATGCAATTGATAATACATTCAAAAAATTTCTCACGATATTATCATGACGAAAATAGATATGTCATCAAATAAAAAATGCACAGTATTGTGAAAGTTTATGGTTATGGTTTATGGATCAGAATATCTAAATCTCACATTCGTGGGATAAAACCTGTAGTAAGACCAGAAACATCTTAGAAGTCCAATATCTAGTTTTTTAACGGCCACATACCCCAATGCCAATGAACGCAGCAGTTTCTTGTCTATTCAATTGCTAATCTGGCATTTTTTTCACCGAGCGCTGACTCTCCTAGCGACTAACAAAAGGATACACGGAGATGGGATAGGTCAGGGGTCAGCACTGGACCAGCAACACACCATCCAGAGCCCGGTTCACCGACAGCAACGGTCAATATTTCGGGGGTGAACAACGATACAACGGGACGGGACGGGATAAACCGGGATAGTTGTGCCGCTTCACCGCCGCGCGTCATTTGCCGCTAGATACCCCGTTCGGGATGCTGGACTACAACAGGTTTTTTATCCGGGCTAGGGTGAACAAGTCAAAACGGGACGATATTTTCATGGTGATATACGAGTTTTTAGTGTGTAATCGATCTATAGCCCCGTTATTATAAAGGATATTCAAAAAATTTAATTACTTAAATTATATAATATATATATATATATACAATATCCTTTAATTTCTTTGGATAGAAGGCAAAGTACCTGTCGGCTGACTGATGTGGAGGTTATCAGTGGAAAAAAAGATGAAATCTCAAGGGAATTTTGAATAGTTGATAGTTTTAAAATCTCCAAATTTCTTCCAAAATCAATCAACGCTTATTTTTAAAAAAAAGCCTTTCAAAATGATTTGCCATTTAATAATAAAATAATTCCGTCCTAATCGAACCTCATTAGTCCAGTTTTGTATTCGTCGACTATGTGTTCCCTTCACTGTTGTTTTAAAAACAATTTCAGCAACAATCTGGCCGACTTACTCCAGACGATGAAGACATGGATATTCGAAAGCTTGAGAGTTTAAGTTACAAGGGTGTACTTTTGCAATACTTTGCCTTCTACCCAAAGAAATTAAGAATATCTTCTCCTAACAGTTAAGGCAATTAACTATGAATACTATATATATATATATATATATATATATATATATATATACGAGCCCCTTCACCCCACTTCAGTTGGCCCAACTACTGAAATCTTAGTTTTTTTTTCTTATCAAACACAAATAAATAAAATGTAGCAGGGTGTTAAGGGTTTAAAATATTAACAATGGATATTTTGATAATGTATAGTAGAACACTTGTTGCAATAATTACAGCATATCAACCTATTTTCAATAAGTCTATAACGCATAGGTGGCTGTGAAAAATAAAAGACATGACAATTGTTTTTTTTTAAACATCTGTGGCAAATGGATAACTTCCAATGCCAAACCGATCGACAAAAAAAAATTGTTTTTATTAATCACAGCTGTCAGAATACGTTTAACCCTTTGCGGCATGTTGGTCTTTTGAGATGACCACCAATTCAAAGTCTGTGATGATGACATATGACAAATGCATGTTTACGAATTACTGTACCGGCAAGCTGGTGAGGTACCAGATTGAAATAACGTATTTATCAAGAAAGCTACTTTGCTATTTAGTACAAATTCTGTGTTGGTAAGTTTGATAAGTCAAATATCTTCACTTTTAGTACACATTTACTATAAAGTTGTATGTATTTGTTTTGGATATATGGTCACACAGTCTTGTGGGATAACCAGTAGGCACAAAATATTTTTTTTTGTAGATAAGGCGAAACAAAGCTCGACATTTCGAGAGTTGGAAAATCTTACTCAGAGAGAAATCAATAATATTTTGGAGGACATACGCAGCGATAATGAATTAGTCGCATCGGATATATAAAGCGTTATGGCTGACATAGCTGATTCTGATCTACGAAGTGATGTAGTTTGCGACATCGAAGAGGAGATATTGACACAAGCTGCTAATTTTTCCGAGTGGGATAGTGAAGATGAATTATCACTGTCAAATTTAGCGAATAATATTTATAACCAAGTTTCTTGGACACAAGATGAAAGTTATATTACAAGATCACAACCGTTTAGCGGAAGAACAGGCCCAAACATTCCAGACATAGTTGAAAGTCCAGTCGACATGTTTCTTCATTCAAACACATGGAGGAGATAGCATATTTATTCCCACAACTCAGGATGAGGTCAAAACATTTTTGGCTGTAAATGTGATGATGGGAATGAAGCCACTCCCTAGCTACAGGGATTACTGGTCACCTAATGAACAACTTCGTGACAGTTACGTCAGTGAAGCCATATCTCGGACAAGATTCACCTGGCTATTGGCTAACCTTCATCTAGCTGATAATGGAACACAACTCAAAAGAAATGAGCCTGGCTATGACAAGCTTTATAAAGTTCGCCCACTCTTATCTAAACTTAGTGAAACTTTCCTTGCTGCACTCAATCCTCACGAATTTCAGGCTTTTGATGAGTCAATGATACGTTTCAAGGGAAGAAGTTCCTTGAAACAATATATGCCCAATAAACCTATGAAAAGAGGGTATAAGGTTTGGATACGTGCAGACTTGAGTGGGTTTCTGTGTTAATTTCTAATCTACACGGGTAAAGAGTGCGATTCCATCGAAAAAAGCTTAGGCTGTAGAGTCGTCAAGGATCTGACTGGACCACTAGTTGGTAAATGGCATAGAGTATTTCAATTCTGTAGAACTTCAAAGATATCTTCTTGCTAATGGAATCTATGCTAGTGGAGCTGTACGCAAGGGACGTAAACATTACCCAGATTTCAAAAGTGACAAAAAGATGAAACGTGGCGACATTGATTTTCGGATATCCACAGATGGACTCGCCGCTCTCAAATGGATGGATAAACGAAGTGTACTTTT